CGCTAATGTCATGGTGTGGGGGCCAAATCCTACACCATGAGATCTGACTTGGTTGTGGTTCAGGGAAATTTGACAGCAAATCGCTACATGAATCAAATTCTTCAACCCCACCTTCTTCTAATCATTGACCGCCAGAGGGAGCTGTTTCAACAGGACAACGCTCCACCGGACACAGCTCGTGTCACGGTAGACTACCTTCACAATGCAAACATCAGCGCCTTGCCCTGGCCGTCGAGATCTCCAGATTCGTACACTAATCCAGTCAGTGCCGAGGACCTGCAGAGCCGTGATTGCTGCCCGGGGCGGTCACACGAGATACTGAGTTCAGCGCAATATTGTGGCCTTATGTGACATGAACAGTTTTCAAGGCCTTTGTACAACGACAACATGTGACTATCGAGCTCCAAAATTTCATATTTGTATCTATGATATTAAATTAAGTATATCGACTTTATTAGGTACAATAAATTTACTAAAAATTTACCTGTGCGTTTCTTCTATTGAAGAGTGTACTTGATGGTAAAATTGCACCCATTGTATTAAATTAAGTTTTGTTTGTTCGGAAATATGGGGCAATAAGTGTTATGAATCCATCGACAAAGTTCATACTTTGTATTTTAAGTTATTTCTAATTCTGTGGTAAATATGCTTAAAGAAACATTTTATTAAATGCTGGATTTTCTTTTGTAATGAAAAAAATTACATTTAAACAAAGACAATTAAAAATATTCAGCAAAACAGGCACCAAAAAATTTTCTCCTCCCATTTCCTCAGGCATAATGCTGGTATTAAATCATTGTTGCAACCAGAAAGATATTTAATTGTATTTCCATGTGAATTTGTATTGAGAGGTCCTTGTAAATTTTGAATCTCTCTCCATAACATCCATGTCAATACATGTCGTAGAACCAATGCTATTGATTCTGGTAATTGTATATGTACTAACTGTACCAAACAGGAGATTGAAGACGAGAATCACGTTCTTTTTATTCATTCAATGCATAAACTTGTAAGACCAAAGTTTCTATCTAATTTAAATATATCACACAAAGACAATCAATTACTGATAAATTTGTTGAACTCCAAAAACACAGATGTTATCAAATCTTTAGCAATGTATTTAAACCATGTATTTACACTATATATATATATGATCTTGACATGTGGTGTAATAGTGTCGTGGTACAGTAGATAGACATGTGGTGTAATAGTGTCGTGGTGCAGTAGACAGACATGTGGTGTGATAGTGTCGTGGTACAGTAGACAGACATGTGGTGTAATAGTGTCGTGGTACAGTAGATAGACATGTGGTGTCATAGTGTCGTGATAGAGTAGACAGACATGTGGTGTAATAGTGTCGTGGTGCAGTAGACAGACATGTGGTGTAATAGTGTCGTGGTACAGTAGACAGACATGTGGTGTAATAGTGTCATGGTGCAGTAGACAGACATGTGGTGTAATAGTGTCGTGGCACAGTTGACAGACATGTGGTGTAATAGTGGCGTGGCACAGTTGACAGACATGTGGTGTAATAGTGGCGTGGTAGAGTAGACAGACATGTGGTGTAATTGTGTCGTGGTACAGTAGACACACAAGTAGTGTAATAGTATCGTGGTGCTGTAGACAGACTTGTGGTGTGATAGTGTCGTGGTACAGTAGACAGACATATGGTGTAATAGTGTCGTGGTAGAGTAGACAGACATGTGGTGTAATAGTGTCTTGGTACAGTAGACAGACATATGGTGTAATAGTATCGTGGTACAGTAGAGAGACACCTTGTGTAATAGTGTTGTGGTACAGTAGACAGACATATGGTGTCATAGTGTCGTGATAGAGTAGACAGACATGTTGTGTAATAGTGTCGTTGTACAGTAGACAGACAAATGGTGTAATAGTATCGTGGTCCAGTAGATAGACATGTGGTGTAATAGTGTCGTGGTACAGTAGACAGACTTGTGGTGTGATAGTGTCGTGGTACAGTAGACATACATGTGGTGTAATAGTGTCGTGGTACAGTAGACAGACATGAGGTGTAATAGTGTCGTAGTGCAGTAGACAGACATGTGGTGTAATAGTGTCGTGGTACAGTAGACATACATGTGGTGTAATAGTGTCGTGGTACAGTAGACAGACATGAGGTGTAATAGTGTCGTAGTGCAGTAGACAGACATGTGGTGTAATAGTGTCGTGGTACAGTAGAGATACACCTGGTGTAATAGTGTCGTGGTAAAGTAGACAGACATGTGGTGTCATAGTGTCGTGATAGAGTAGACAGACATGTGGTGTAATAGTGTCTTGGTACAGTAGACAGACATGTTGTGTAATAGTGTCGTGGTACAGTAGACAGACGTGTGCTGTAATAATGTCGTGGTACAGTAGACAGACACGTGGTGTAATAGTGTCGTGGTACAGTAGACATACATGTAATAGTTTACTAAAAATTTACCTGTGCGTTTCTTTTTTTGAAGAGTGTACTTGATGGTAAAATTGCACCCATTGTGTTAAATTTAGTTTTGTTTGCTCGGAAATATGGGTCACTAAGTGTTATGAATCCATCGACAAAGTTCATACCTTGTATTTTAAGTTATTTCTCATTCAGTGGTAAATATGCTTAAAGAAACATGTTATTAAATGATGGATTCGTGGAGTAGACAGAGATGTGACACATTGTCTAGACACGCCTGCGGACGTTTCCCGTTCCTCTAAAATCCAGAACAAGAGATATCTCAACCTTGGAGAACAAGGGTGTGTTTTTATATACATTTGTTTAAGCAACACAAATAACACAACACTACATGTTCACCAACTCTGTCAGTAATGTAAACATGAGTGCGCATGTCTTCTAAATTTATTTAGCAGGCTCCTTTTGTTTCAGCCACGGACAAATCATAAAGATCCCCGTATACAACGTCGTAGAGTGCAGCGCCGTAGTTGCTCACGTCGTGCTTCAAGGCCAGATGTTACGTGTCTTTGTCAATGCTGGACACCTTTAAGCCTATTTAGAGTGAAGAAAGGGCTTGTTTTTACCACTGTGATTGACGTAAATCTCGGGTTAAAAATATCGTGGAGGCGATCGGTCAGAAATATAAAAATATGACCTTACCCATCCTCTAAATGTACGTGTTCTTTTATTGAACACTGGACGCGTTCACGCCTTCTGCCACAGAATACAAATATTCTATTTCGGACAGCACGTGTTCTATTGGTCATATTATAATGGCAGGAGTAAGCGTTTATAATGTAGTCATGGTTTCCCTTTACACAGTTTGTGTTTGTTTCAGGTATTCGGTAATCAGAATGAAATACGGACATATCTACCCAACAGGCACGCAACGTTGAAACAACGTTGAAATAAGGTTGAAGCAACGTTGAAATAACGTTGACAACTGACGTTGAAACAACGTTGAAGTGTCAACGTCAGTTCAATTTTCATATGAAATTAATTTGCAACGTTGTTTCAACGTTGAAGAGTGACGTTGTTTCAACGTTGTTTCAACGCTGTAATGCCTGCTGGGTAGTGTTTAATATGCAGTTGTAGCTATGCTTCCACCTGTATGGTTTAACTGTTACAGATCTGAACTCTGCTGCAGACCCTTGAGAATGGCCTGGAACGCTTTCCATGAAATGATGCCGTCACAGTAGTATGTCCTCCACCCCTCTCGCTTCTGTATCTTTTGCTTCCTCACATGTGTATACGATCTACGTTTCAACAGATGCATGACTTTCATGAAGGAAGAATCCATGAATATCCTGGTTAGAATTGTACTTCAGCAACCAATACTTTCCGTAAGAGGCAATCGGAATCGGGTGGTCAGGCTCGCTGACTTGGTTGATGCATGTCACCGTATCCCAATGACGTAGATTGATGCTCATGATGTCAATCACTGGATTGTCTCGTCCAGGCTCTATTATTTACAGACCGCCGGTAATTAGCTGGAATATTGCTGAGTGCTGCGTTAAACAACAAACAAAAATAAATAAATAAAGAAGTACCAGTCTTTATTTAGATACGTCTAGCCACAGACCTATTGCGCATATACAGAGCAAGATATATACCATATATATTTGACAGTAATTAATACCAGATATACATTTCACGATTAATAGGACCAAATATCTTTCCTCATTTGCATAGAGAAGACATTTGGCAACATTTATCACACATTCTTGATTTAAAGACTCTCATTATAAATTAAATATATGAATTATGTTTTGAGTTAAAGAAAAGTAAACTATCACGTCCGCAAGTAGTGATATAGCATCAATCTTTCATGCAACATTCGTAGTTTGCCTATAGGGCATTTTTTAACTAAAATATATGCTCTTCAAATATCGTTGAGGTTCAGAGGTTTATCTTACACAAACTCATCCGTTATTTGAAACGATGAAACTACCAACCCTTCAGGGTAATCTGTTATTGATGCAAATATATCTGTGCTACTCAGTTTTTTTTGGCATCGGTACAAACCGTGCCATTATCAGTAAAACCGTTGACCGACATAATGTACAAAGCTATTTTTGAGACTGCACGAGACAAATTGTGGTAAATGTGGCTGAATACTAAACGCTTAGAAAATAATGTATCGCGGAGCTGGAATAGTTTTTACTAAGACACATTATCAATATCGAATTTTCCTCAAAATAATGCTATCACACGTATCACAGCTTAATGCGTTCAAGGCTTGATAGCTGAAACATATCTCTCCCGTCTATTTATACTCATGTTGTTTGAAAGCGAGATGTGCTTTTCTAAACATGTCTTTCCGAAATGAGGAAGGCCCCTCTCTCAACCAACACTGATAAGGCACCTTAAAATCCTCACGTTACCATATGCAAGAGCGCTCGAAATTGCGTGCTCTCCTTTAGGTATGTCGAGGGGTAATATAAACATCATGATTGCCAAATTTATTCAAACGCCTGCTCCACTATATACTCCTTCTTATTTTGAGTTCATTTCAAGGATGTCGAGCCATATGGTAAATATGTAAATTGATACGTCGATCTATTTTAGTTGCATTCGCGGATCTTGATGCCTCGTTTGAAAGAATGATTTCGACTGGAAGCTGACCCATCTTTCTAGAGCCTCATTTTGCATTAGCGCATCACGGATCTCTTGTTCTGGTAGGAAGGAGAGCCACGAGCTGAGATAGTTCAAGGCAGGTTCAACAACTCGCGCGGTCACTGGGTGTGTCAGGCAGGAGTCGCAAGCAGACGACAACGAGCAGACGACACTGGGTACAGAAGGCGGGAAGGACAGTCGTGCGTGATGACAGTCACTCTGATGTGTCGTCAGCTAAATTTAGCACGAGACCGACGGAAGGGGATTTCCTCGCGCACCGTGACGACAGCCAGGCCTGTATATTAAATAAGTCTCTCGCTAGCAGCGACATTGTTGTGGAGTGTGGCGAGCTAGCCTATGACAGACGACAAAACCAGGTGCTCGGAGCACGATTAAAATGGTGCTAGAGGCGAGGAACGAGAAAAGGATTAAATGTGTTGTTGTTGGAGATGATTCCATAGGCAAGACGAGCATGTTATTGGGGTATGCAACAAATCGCTACCCCACACAGCACGTACCATCCGTCTTTGACAACCACGCGGGTAAGTCGCACGTGCTTGTGTTGTCATATATCCTTTGTTTCTCTGATTTTTGTTTATCTTTACCATTGTGTTACGTTACGAATGTTGGTGTCTCAATGTCATTTTTTAAATCTATTGGCGTCATATCAGATCATTTCCCTGTTTATGAATATGATCATTATGAATATATCATTCCCTGAGTATTATTGACGCAGCACTACACGGAAGGACATTTATCAATGAAAACGGCTTTTTCCAAGTTCAGCCTTTTCTATCTCTTCTTAAACAGGTTTGCCTCTTGGCGACTTAGAAGCGTGTATGTTGAATTTGGTCCAATTTTGTGGTTTGATGTGTTTGGCATGTCTGTGATTCCCAAATGTGATATTTATTTTCATATAGTTACATTACATGTCTTATGAGACAATACATGATAATTATAGTTAAATAATAATGTTGATTATGATAAGTATAAATCATAAATAGAATTAAAGATAATGAATATTATTACCATTACAATTAAGTTCTCTTGATCATTCACACCCTCCTCATCATCATCATAAAACTTGAGGTCAAACGTGTGCTGATTCATTGAGCTACATTGCATTTAAATACCAAAAGTCACTCTTCAAACGAAACTGGTTAACGCTCCCTGCTTAAAAATCTTTTAAATTTTAAACTTGACACTTGTTTTAACTCTGTAGACAGCGTTTCACTCCCCATTGACACCCGTCATGTGTAAAGTATTCACTTCCCGTCTTGGCTAATGTGCGCATAAACGGCCATGGGAAACAGCGCATTGTTATAGATAGTTTTTTGTTCACATCCGCATTTCATCAGTACGTCCTCAAGATGGTTGTAAATGTCAAGATTTGGACGACTGCTTATTGAGTTAGGGGCACGGCCGGAAGTCACGTACCCCGATTTTTTAACTACCGTTACATTCTCGTACACGATAAACTCGTATAAGCCTTTGAACTGTGCCGAAATTTGGAGGAAATTTTGAGTACATAATGTATATTTCACAGCAGCTTTATGTAAACAAGATTCACAAGGCAGCTCTGTTAACACGCGCTTTTTATCACAATATGACGTCATGTTGGAAACATGTATCTCAACGGTGACAATACACACTGTCAACTTTCACACGTAAATCGGATATTTGACACACCTGTTGTAATTACTACATCCTTGTTATAAATGTTTAAACATTTTGTCACAGACACACCCATCAAACCATCGTCTACCGGAATTTGACATACCCGGTTCAAGGACCACCGAGTTAAATACAGCGAATAACGACATAAAGCGTTCAACGCGAAAAGCGACCGTGGTCTACTTGCCTATAAATATCTTCACTTAGACTTGCATAAGTCTCTAAGACAATAATTATTACTTTTAATCATCATTTTTTAATTATGTAAATAATAAGAACAGGTTATCCCTAAAAGAGACCGGAGTGCACATATCTAGACTTGCCTATTAGGAGGAGAAATTTACTACACATCCATGGATTTATCTTTCAGTACAGCCTTGGAGCAAGGCTAATCCTCTGTCGGCTGACGATAGTACCACCGCAACATAGATTCAACTACAGGCGAACGTTTCATGTGCTTCCCGATAGGTCTATTATATACGATTATGTTTCTCCGTATAAGCACAATGCACAACAAGACTTGGCTGCTCTGACATGGCTTATTCGAGTTTTTCAAATCAGAAACCTGTCAAAACCCTCATGCGATTCCGGGGTAGAATAGGTCCCCAGCAACCCATGCTGTCCGTTAGAGGCGACCAGATTGATCGGATGGTCAGGCTCGGTGATTTGGTTTATTGCGTGTCATCGTACCCCGACGGCGGTGATCGTTGCTCACAATATCGATCACAGGATTGTCTGGTCCAGTCTCGATTATTTTAAAACCTCCGTAATACAGCTGGAATATTACTGAGTGAGGCGTTAAACAACAAACAAAACTTCTCAAAATTATTCATTTGAGCCTGATCGAAGCAACGACCTGTAATTTCTGTTAATAGATTTCCATTGAAACATTTTATATTATTAACAACAAATCATGTACATTTGTTTAATTTATCTGACAGTGCCGGTACATATGAACATACAGAAACTCGGGATTAAATTGTTTTTTAACAACACATGACCTTGACAAACTCTCGTGGACAGGTTTTAATCCTTTGCTACAGATCACGTTAGTACAAGCTCATATGTCGGAAATACTGCTCGGCGATGACAGATGGGATGTACAAACTCGTGCCATCAAGGCCTCCCTGTATATTTCCACATCCCACAGTTCATACGATCTCTAAATTAGATTAAGACGAATGTAAGTCTACTGATGGTAACTGGGTCACGTCGCCAGTTTCCCTCGCTGCAGTGTTCAACGTGACATACATAGGTAGCGCAGTGGTTAACACAAGGAAGCCAGTCTAGCGCACATTAGTTTATAGTGTCCTTTTTCCGGTTGTGAGCGAATATGGTTTTACGCCGCTTTTAGCAATATTCCAGCAATATCACGGAGAGGGTTACCAGAAATGGGCTTCACCTATTGTAGCCATGTGGGGAATCGAACCCGGGCCTTCGGCGTGACGAGCGATCGCTTTAACCACTGGGCTAACCCACCGCCCTTTTCCCGGTGTGACTGTACTTCAAGGTATATAAGTGTATTATCAAGTTAGCCAGGTCGCGGCACGATACGGATCTTGATAGTAACGCTGAGACCTATCCCATTAAATCATTTTACACCAATACGACACCTCTCTGCGTAATGACCTCACATAGGTGAACTTTCTAATCAGCGTCGAGGCTTCTAAATTCTCGGTACGAGTGGGCGAAGCATTCAAACCAGTATATCTGATTTCTGTATCGCGAAAACGAACAAAAACGACAAGTTCCGAATGTAAAGCAGTGCTATTATATTGGGGATATTTCATACATCCTGTTGTGTCTGAGCTCTATGGTTTCTACGCCTCAGAGGAGTATCATCGAAGGAATATTCTATGTGTGTTTTCATTTGAATAAATCGAAACGGAGCTTTCTTTTGGCGTAAGCGGTCAAGGTTCGATCAGTGTTCACCCGGAGCGACCTTTTGTGTAGTGAGTGAGTGAGTATGGTTTTACGCCGCTTTTAGCAATATTGCAGCGTGGGACACCAGAAATGGGCTTTACACATTGTACCAATGTCGGGAATCGAACCCGGGTCTTCGGCGTGCCGAGCGAAAGCTTAAACCACTAGTCTACCCGACCCTCCGACCTTCTGTGGAGGTGTCTTCAGATCTTAGCGCAGAGAGGTGTCGTGTCGGAGAAAAAGATCTGATTTTAATGAGATCGGGCCTCGATATGATACACGATATGTATCAAGTTAGTAAGCGGCACTACTATACACAATCGGTACGTATCCGTCAGTGCCACGACACGCTACGTGTGTTATTAGTGAGACCGCAATAGAATACACGATGACATACGTAACTAGACTGCCGAGATACGATAAGTATCTGATTTCAAAAACGTCGATGCCATCCACGATACGTATTAAAGTTACGATACACGATATTATACGTATCTAAACGTTAAGGCCACGACACGATACGTATTAAAGATACGATACACGATATGATACGCATCATAACATTAAGGTCACGATACGATACGTATATAAAATTAAGACCACGATACGATACACGATATTATACGTATCTAAACGTTAAGGCCACGATACGTATGTAAAACCTAAGGCCACGATATTTACATGATACGTTTCTTTTGCAGTTGATAATGTTGCGATACCAAACAGCACTATATACATCTTTTGAAACAGTTGAGTTAATTATATCAGTAAATCGACATAAGATAGAATATTAGAATTTATTTTCATAACACGTTTCTTAATCTGGTGCATGCATACCACCTTACACGACACAGTGGCACATTCTGTTGCGATACACCGTTCTTTGATTGCCGTGAAAAGGCGACTATGCTTGTCGTAAAAAAAGCGACTAACGGGATCGGGTGGTCAGGCTCGCTGACTTGGTTGATACATGTCATCGTATCCCAGTTGCGTAGATCGATGCTCATGATGTCAATCACTGGATTGTCTGGTTCAGACTCCAGTCTTTACAGACAGCCGTTACAGAGTGCGGCGTTAAACAACAAACAAACAAAACAAACCGTTCTCTGATGATTCATTCACAGCGCCTTTGTAGACTCAATCACTGGTTTTCCAGGTCTAGATTTCATCATCTTAGGGATCACGTCGTAAAACAACATTCGTTCACTCACTCTGAAATGGACACCCAAGTTCTATTAATATTATGTTCTTCTTTGAGGTGAATATTGTTTTACACCGAAATCAACACTATTCCAAGTATTTCGCGACGGCCTGTAACACTCGAGGCCATAACAGGCTAACCGGTGACCGAAGTCAGGGGTGACAGTTATTTGTTGCTGTGGAACTACGCTTATTGAAGAACCCCCCCCCCCCCCCCCCCTCTGTCCCTACTAAAATCATTGCCCGACACCTCGCCCCTGATCTGTCTCCCAGACCCTAGAGAAAAAAAGTCCAACTCAAGTCAAGAATGATTTGGCAAGTCTAGATTGCGTCAGCCTGAATTAAGGATTTTTCTGGACTCGATTTGGATTTTATATTTTATTTTGTAGATATTTATTTTGAAATAAGATAGCTTTATTTTGGGACTAAATGTCAGTGTACCTCGCCCCAAATCCGGCACATTATTACTTCAGCACGAGTATCAGTGTTATATAGAAATGCCAGCAATAGCATGCTTAATGCAACATGATTTACCCCCGACCACCATTGTCTACATTCTCTTACTCAAAGCATATGCTTACGGAGGAAACATGTCATTATAAAGGTTTCCTCAGGTAATTCGTCTCGAAACACGATCTGAGATAAGATTGCATCATATACTCTAATACCAGCACTTGACATATCTTCGTCAGTTCTCCACCCGACTCACAGTTTATAATGATAGGTTACTGTGCATGGCGTGTCA